AGTACTGACATGAGACCTCAGGCAAAGTGCTAGTCCACAGATCTTTGAGCAGATTTAGAAGGACTTAATAATGGCTTGTCTGGTAATGCAACTTGTGAACAAAGAGAGTCTTATCTCTCCTTGGAGTAAGATCCATAGACAGTTCAGAGGAGGTTTTTTAAGATGTTTCAAGTGCTTTTACTGCTACTAAAAAAAAGGGGGGAGGGGGAGGCATCTGATATTTCTTAAATAAAAATAACTGCAGAAAAATCAGAAGGATGTAACTGTAAATTTGCTCTTGTGGACATGACTCTGTGCTCTCCATTATGCTGAATTAAAACTGCTCAAATTAGAAAAATCAATCCTCAAATGAACCCAACTGTCTATCATACCAAAGATTGTCTTCTAGCATAAATAGCACAAGCAGGGCCCAACATAATTAATCTTGCTTGGTATGTAACCACAGGAACACCCTGTGACATGTGAGGACCTAGGGGGAGTGTTTTGATTGGGTAAGATGGCAAAATATGCGGTATCTGGAAAGAACATATTTTGACAGCATTACAAAGGAGGAATGTGAGTACAAAGATGGAAGGAGAGCTCCAACCACTGAGATGCTGCCAACAGAACTGGTGCACTGAGGTTCCCATTCCCTGTGTAAGCACACGTGTCTTCCCATCTTCCCCAGAGTGGGCAGTGGCCCATGGCAGGTTGACTGTGTGCCCCTTGTGGTGGTTTGATTTAAGACTTTTTTTACAGCCTCAGAGATATGGCACTCACAGGAGAAATTAACAGAAAGGTGGAAACTATGGCCAAGAAATAGTTCACTGGCTTCAAGAAAGGATATGGGCTGCTTCTGTCCTCAGGGGACTTTTTGCTGGAGGCAGATGAGCGTAGCAGCTTAGCAGAGCTGCAAGATGAGATTGTGTTGCGCTTTGCCTGAGTGTGGCTAGCTATATAAAAGCCAAAATGCTCTTGTAGACAAGCAGCGGAGATGTTGATATGGCATTGTAGGAGAACAATGTGGTTTGTCCTCACTGGTCACAATTGCCTTATATTCCTGGGGCTTTTCGGGACAGAACATGTCACTTCTTAGACAAAACTTGTCCTGGTTGATATTTGCAATTCCTAGCTCCAACTAAGGCATGAGGCTGCTCACTGTGGATCTATGCTGAAACATGTGGGGCTGAGCTGGTCAAAGTGATATGAATGGACTACTTGCTTTTTAAAGATTCCCCCGATGTCTAGGTCCAAACATCTGCTGTTTCAAACAGGACATTTGCTATTTCTAGCTGCCTTACCTAGAAATGTCTCATAGAGCACCATGCTGCTTCAGTGAAGAGTGTGTTAGAAGTTTGAGTTTTCCTGCTGAATTCTGGAGATGTTCTGGGTGTTTGGTGGACAGATATCTAATAATATAGCTTTCCTTTCAGCTAGTGAGGAAAAAGCCTTTGTCTGAGCTGGCCAGCTAGCAATGGAAGCAATGCTGTGTGGGTTCATGGCCCAAACATCACCAGACTGAGATTCCTTCAGTGGAGAAGCCAGAACTTTTCATCTTTGCACACACAATTCAGCTCTACAGCCTTGTAGAGCATGAAATTTCTGTGAGCAACAATGTGAATGTTGTTGAGAAAATTACTACTGGCTGAAAGTCACAATGCAAGAGCCCATCACATTAAGCATAGCAGTAAGCAGGTAACAAGCAGGAGTACACGTGAGCTGAGAGAGACAGAAGCAAAAAGCTACGTTGCACAAGTGGAATGGCCAACTAAGAACACTAGTATGTAAATCCTGTAGATGATAATAGTGTGCTTGAGGTCGCATTCAGTGAAGCACAGCTTGGTCTGTGCTCCACGTGTCAGGAAGCAGTGATGGAGCAGGTCACGGTGTGTTCCAGTTATGTGAGACATCTGAAAGACCATATGGAAACACTGGATGCACACTGACTCCTTGCATAGTGTTCTCTGGCAGCCATGCAAGCTCTGTTCTATTTTGTTTTGCGGTGTATAGGATGAGACAATGTTGGTATCATCAGTGCTTCAATCAAGAGGCAAATATCTCATTTAAAAGTTTATTTTAATGAAGGCCTCCAGCTGGAAAGGTTATTTATTAACCTCTTATTTACAAATTGAGCCCTGATTTGAAAATTAAGGCATTGTAATTTAATATTAACCCACATGTCAGAAAATAATGAGACAAACTACAGGGAAAATTGCATTCCATATTGCAAAAGACCCATTTTATTTATAATGACCAGGATTACAAGTTATGCCAACATTGATGGATCGTACTTTAAAAATCTTGATAGCTCATTCATTTCTATAATTATATTTATTACAAATTAAATAAGTTGCAGACACCCTTGATATACAAAGAGACAAAATTAATTTGTGAATCAGTATTAATCTGTCATCAAACGAAATGAACTCTCTTTCTGGCAGCCCGCTGAAAGTAATGTCCTGTACTAGGTTTTCCATGATCCTTAGGACATGGAAGTTGTGGAAGGGCAAACATGAGCTGTTGAAGAAACATGTCTTCACTTAGGTATATGTCATTTCTCAGTATAGCTTTTAAAATCAAGAGCTGAGATGGCAATAGGAAGCATTCTTGGCCATAGAAATCAAAACTGCAGTGGCAGCAGTGTGATGCTGGGTGCAAGGAGAGGCACACTCATGCCTCTCAGTACAGGGAGAAGCAAAGGCAGCTGCTAGGATGCTCCTGGATGAGATTACAGACCCTAACACTCAACAACTGCTACTGTGCTTAGCCAAAATCTGTGCCCATCTGCTCTGGGGTTTTGTGCACGCTGACAAGGAGTCCTGCCAGCTTCAGGAGGACTCAGGCTTTCCTCCAAATTAGTACATTTGGAGTTGGGGAAAAACAATCTTTATGCTGCAGGTTAGAGTGCATCTTCTCCACAGATTAAAGCAAAGTTATATATAGGAAGGGTGGGTGTCTCTGTAGTCTTCTATTCCCTTGCCAGCAGCATCTCCAGCACCAGCCCAAGTCAATGAATCATGGAATGGCTTAGGTTGGAGGGGACCTTAAAGCCCACCCTGTCCCAACTCCCTGCCATGAGCTGGCTGCCACCCACCAGCTCAGGCTGCCCGGGGCCCCATCCAACTTGGCCTTGAGCACCTCCAGGGATGAGGCACCCACAGCTTCCTGTGCCATTGCCTCACCACCCTTTGAGTAAATCAGTGGTGCTGAGCTAGCTTTTCCTCTCCTGAGCAGTACACAGCTCAGTACACACAGAGCTCTCTGGGGAGCAGGAAAATAGCCCAGTGTTTACACTTTTGTTTTTAATTCTTCACCAGTCCTTTTTGCTTTCTGACTTCACTGCCCTCCCCGAGGGAGGTGCACAAGCTCATCATCTCAGAGGCAAATTTCCAACTGCAGAAGGTTGGACCCTGTCCAAAATTAGCCACAGCACACTCAACTCCCCCGCCATACTCTGCTGCGCTCTCTGTGTAATTTAACAGCTAGGATCAACTAATAAAGTGCAAGATGTAGAAATGTCATTTAGAGTTACCTACCCGTAACTAAATAACTTTGTAATGAAAGAAAAGCCATTTTGAGCTGATGCCTTAAAGACTAACTTCATCTCCATAAAGAAAGAAATATGGCTCAAACTGAGGCAGCCTGCACGTGGCATCAACAAACCCTCTTTGTGTTTCCACAAGAAAGGCTGACACCAAGTGAGCAGTGTCCTTGCATCATCTTATTTTTGCTCTAATTGTTGTGATTCCACCTCAGAATATTCCTGCAGCTTCAGGTCAGCTCACAGGGAGCTCTTGGGTGTCTTCTCCAGGAAACGGAGCTGGAAGGGTGTTTCTGTGGTGGAAGCTTTGTCTTGAGTTAAGTGCAGTAAAAGAGGAAGAATGGTACCTGTTTTAGTAATAAAACAGTAATTAATTCCAGACATTCATAAAGGAAACCTCAGTAAGCCAGAAGAAATTATTTACACATCTTTGTATTACAGTGTTTTTCCATTCACCTTTTTTGGACTGTTTCCTTCAGAAGACGTTCAGTCCATACATTACTATTTAAAGAGTCTAATTCGACCCAGGCAATAATGACCTATAAATATTCATGATTTTGTTTAAACATTAAAATAACATCTGTTTCAGAACATCTGCAATCTGTTTTCAATGCTTCAGTACCATTTAAATTAACTGTAACTAATACAATAAACCACTATTAGGGATAATGATAATGAAGGATCCCCTATTAAGAGACACGAACAACATGGAATTGAATGAAAAACCAAATGGGGTTGTGGGAGAAGGAGAAAAACCCAATAGGCAGATCTCAAAGTTCCTTGGAACTTAGACTTGCCATTATGGGAGAGTTTCCTGTGTGTAGGACTATTGTTTAAGGGTCTCAGCTGTTGCCTCTTAGCTCCACTTAGGTCTTGTTCCAATTTTCACTGTGAGAGCAGTGATTTATGTCCCCTACAGTGGGGCTTTGAAGGCAGGGGGAGGCTCTTGCTTTCCAGCTGAAGGGCCCCACAAAGTATTTCTGAGCTGGAGAGGCTGGCACAGCCCATGCAGTTGTGGTTAATGAGCCCAATAACCTCGCTGCCCACCAGGCAGCCTGCTGGGCCACGGTGCCCAGTGGCTGATCTCGTGGTGCCCACCACAATTAACTTACTCCCAAAGAAAGGCTTTCTTTTTCCTGCTATGAAGTTCTCTCTCTTTTTCTCACAGTTGCCAGGAGAAATGACATCATGTACATCTGCATATTGCTGCAAGAGGAAGGCGAAGGTCAGGGAGGAAGGCTCATACCTCTCCATTGGTAGACTGACACCAGGCACCCACCTCCAGCAGACACGTGGCTGGAAAGCTGTGCCCACATGGAAACTCCTGGTGGGTCGGACCATAAATCATAAATCAATTTGCTCAAAAATTAGACTTACTGTTCTGTGGTTTGCTTGGGTTTTTAAGCCAGCTCTCCCCCCCCCCTTTTCCCTTCTCCCACTCTCTGATAAAAATCCAGGATGGTGTTCTGAGTTGCCCAGACCAAATGCAAACAGCCAGAACAAGAAGAAGTAAGGATTAAAGCAGCTGGATTGACTCTCTTCTGTTTTTCTTTTTTTTCTTTTTTTTTTTTTTTTTTTTTTTTAAGAAAAGTCTATATTCAAATATGTTTTCCAGTTGAAACAAAGTCAGGATCCAGTGTATGCCTGTGTGTTCTCAACTCCGTAGGAGCAGCTCCTCACCAGTGGCACCAAGCTGGAGGGTGCGATGCTGGCAGGCTACCATCTTCCTTCCCAGCAGCCATGGGAGCCTGTGGAAAGCAGAGCATAAATTCAAACCATTTAAAGAGTGATTAAGACTCCCCCTGATTACTGCTCTGCATGGTATTGAATGCTTTGGATGGTGGTGATTTATTGAAGTAATATATAATATGCTGCGTTCAGTTAACGGTCCCCATCAAGCACAATCCAGATGAATAAAAAATAAGAAGAGGGAGAGAGTGTGCTCTAAGAGGAAATCTCCTTGGATTTAAGAGAAATTGAAATATGCACATGGTAATCTGTGTCCAAAGCTTTTAGCACTTCAGAAAATGGCAGTTGCTAATACCTCTGGCTAAAGGCAGCGTTGCATGGATGGCTGACAATCCCAGGGCCTTCCTCCCTCCTTCCTTCCACCATTGACACCTGGCTCCTCCACCTGGCCTACTTTGAGGCAGATGCTGGTTTTTTGTTAAATTTTTTTTTTTTTCCATGATGCAGGACCAGGTTCCTCAAGGAAGGGCATGGCCACCTGTAGTGGAAATGCTGAGTCATGGCTTGAAGCAGTGATCAAGCATCCGGGGGGAAGGCAGGGCCACACTAGGGGAGCTCAGGTACATGCAAACCTCATGTAAGGGTTGACAGTGGAGGTAAGGGTATCTTGCTAGATCTCCCTGCCTGCAAGAGGCCTTTTAAAGTTAAGCAGTCTTTTTTTTTTTTTTCCTTTGTTTCTATGTCCACAGCTGCTGCGTTTGGCTTTGTTCTAATTTACTGCAACCTAGGATTGTGCCACCCCATTACTATTGCTACACTTTCTATCACATAGTATTACAGCATTACACCACCAGCTCCCAGTCAGCCCCGCAGCAGCTGAACAGGTGAAAACACTGGGACTTGCAACCTGAAGAGGAAAAAGCTGGAGCTGGCAGGTATAGAAAGGAAAAACAGCAATATAAGTGCTCAGCCTACCTCCAAAACTTTTAACACTTCAACTTTAATAGTAGAAGTAGCTTTTACTTATGTTTGTCAGAGGTTTATTTATTTTCATATATGGCACTTGATATATTATCACGCCGTAAGTGACTCAATGAGATACCTCCACAGTGGGCTAATTTTAAGGCATCATCTTCAATTAACACTGATCTCAATCACAAGCTTTCCAATATAAGGTAGCTGGGTTAGAAATGATAAGATTATTAATCAAATGTTTCATCTCAAGTTTGCTTGTAAGGATCCATGCCTCCAAGTTGGTTTTGTATTCCCCTGAAGGCATGAGAATTGGAAATAACTTTTACAAGCCCATAACAATGAGAGCAGAAACTCTATCACAGTACCTCTCCTCCACAACTCTGGGCTTTTGTGAAAAATGGACAAGATATCCAGAAATTACAAAAGCTTTTGAACTTCTCCAGCTCACCAGAAAGAGCACAGATGGGGATTGGTTTCATTTTCTCAGTTTCTAAAATTGGTGACATTAGATTCAATTCCAAACCAGATGAGAACTCTTCTTCAGATCTGATGTTTTTTCATGAGGAAGAGCAACTCTCCAACGTTCAAGAAGGCAGGAAATTGAATTGTGGTTGGTACATGATGGACATCGTGTGCCTGTGCATTTCTCTTGTTTGCTATGAGCAAATGTTCAGCAAACAAGGAAATGTTCTTGGCAACATCTTGCCTCAATCCAAGAGCTCATGTCTCCAGTCATTCTTCATCCCTTTAATGCCATACAGATGTCCTCCACGGTGGCTGAAGGGACACACAACCCTTTGTGTAGTGCTTGGAGCATAGACTGAGTTTGTGGAGAGGCAGAGTTGGACTTTTGAGTTCTAATATATCTAAAGTAGAGCCATAGCATCATTAAGATTGGAAAATACCTCTAAGATCATCTAGTTCAACCATCTACCTATCACCTATGTTGCTGCTAAACCACATCCCTCAATGCTGCATCTCCATGGTTCTTAAACACCTCCGTGGACAGCAACTTCACCACCTCCCTGAGCAGCCTGTTTTAATGCATCACCATCTACTGGAAAAGCTTTTCCTAATATCCAACCTGAAAAGTACACACCGACAAAAATATATGTATATATATATATATACATATATACATATATATATATATATGTATATATATATATATACACACACATATATTATACACACGTGTGTATATACACACACACATACGTAACTAAGTACATAACTTGGCTCCACGTGAATATATTTTGATAGGAGCAGTCAAATGCTTGTCCCTCAGCTCAGGGCTGGCACATGCCAGCTGTAGAGGTCTTGCTCCAAGGCCCAAAGGCACTACTGCTTCTCTGGAAAATGTCTGTCAGAATATTTTAGCCTGGGCTTCACATTTTCCCTTATTCTCACTCTCAGAAATGACAGCACCATTTTAGCTGTAACTTTCCAAATAAAATTCAGCCTGATGTACGGAAAAACCTGCACTGACAGTCACAAGCCTGGCAGAGCTGTAGGCTGCAGGGTCTTCTAAGGAGATTACTGAGATAGTCACATAGAACCATAGAATGGTTGGGTTGGAAATGACCTTGAAGCACATTCAGATCCAACCCTCTGCCATGGGCTGGTTGCCACCCACCAGCTCAGGCTGCCCAGGACCCCATCCAACCCAGCCTTGAACACCTCATGGGATGGGGAATCCACAGCTTCTCTGGACAGCTGTGCCATCACCCCCTTAGTGAAAATTTTTCACTGACATCTATGGTGACAGCCCCAACATTGCAGATGAGCTACATGCTCCTCCTGAAAGCCAGAGCGGCTTCACCAGCCCAGAGTCCTCACACCACAAACCTCAGTGCTGCAGGTACAAAACTACCACTACTTTTCAGCACCATAACACAAAAGAATGCATATGCAAGAAACTGCCTTTTTTGTTTTTTTTTTTTTTTTTTTCCCTACAGTTTGATTATCCGTCATGATAAGACATTACTTAAAGCAGCAGTGACACTGTCTAATCATGCTTGTGAAATATAGAGTTCTCTCTCCACTTCAGACAGAGCAGACATTAATACACATTTATGCAAAGCAGAGCTGGAGCTGTCAGGGGCTAATCTTTACAAGTATGATAAATGATGTTTATTTTCAGTGATGGAACGAAACACCCGGGCTGACAATAATTGTAATAAAAAGGACAGATCAACTTCTATAAAGTGATTGAATTACTAGTCTATTGCATTAATGCCTGGTCTTGGCTCTGTCATAAACCTGCTTTAGGTTACCAACAACCGTGTATTAGGAAACATCCACCTTCAGCCAGATATCCTGCCCTTGACCTGTGGGGGCATGCTGGATGCAGGTTTTGGCCAGGCTTACCTTCACTCACTCACAGGAAAGCAGCATTTCCCTCTTATCAAGCCGCCAGTGAAGCATCCCATGTCTCCCGAGCCTTGTGGAGGACTTAGAGAGCTACAGCTCAATGGCCACTTGTGCATCTTTGGTACAGATGCAATGCCTGAGCTCCACACCCAGGGATATCACTGCCGAATCTGTTGCTCTTGGCTGCAACCCATGTCAGCTAGGTCACTCTGTAAGTCTGTAATAGAAAGAAAAATACTTTTTCAGTCTTCAGAATGGAATAGATGTTGTGGGAAGAGGGAAAGGCAGGCAAATAGTTATAGCACAGTTATATTTATGTGAATCTATATGCACATCCATACATCTATTGTCCTGTGGCAAGTTGGTCAGTGTGAATGCTGCCCTTCAGCTGGGAATTCTGACATAAACATAAAAACTTGAATGCAAAAGGGAAAATGGAATTTGCAACCAATCCCTCACACTTTGGAAAACACTTTGGTTCAGGTCAGTTGAAACAATTGTTTTTACATTCTTTTTTTATTACTTCTTTTATAGGTTTTCCATTCCATTATGTTTATGTTTCGTATATATTTCTTGTTTAGAGCATCCCATGTTTCCTTTTCAGTCTATACTTGCATAGTAGCATTCTGTCCCATGATTCATTTTATATGTTTCATACAATGACTCACACTGCGGTACGCATTAGTGCACAGCGGTGCCAAAGAGAAGCCATTCCAGACTGAGAACTTGCACTGCCCCTCCTGACAGCCAGCTGCTGACTGCTGTGAGTTCTCCGAAAATGAGTTATTCCCATTTTTGTTGCCCTAAAACTTCACTCTGTCCGAATTGACACGCTCCCGTGAGAACGCTCAATTTTGGCAGAGCAGCGTTTTCTGACAGCAGAGGTTCAGCAGAAAATCTTTCAGCCTTTCTAAGAAATGTGCATACATCTGTACACGAGCGTGTGTGGTAGCACAGTGCAGGGACAAGGGGCTGATGAGCATGGCATAGATTGGGCAGCAGGAGTCCTGCTCACAGCCAAGCCCTGCTGTTGCTGTTATTGCCAGAAATAATCCTACCCCTCAAGACTGGGGGCTCCTGTGCCATTTTGGGTGGGCAGCTTCCTGTCTGATCCCCTCTCACCTGGACCAAATGTGCCTTCTGGGCCGTGCTGGAAGAGCCAGACCTGCTTGTTCAGTAAGGACTGCAGCGCAGTGAATTTAAGGCTGGAGGCACTCCTGCCCAAAGGATCATCAAAAAGAGATATGAGTGCATCTCCTTCTCACCCCTGCAAAGAGCAAGGAGAGCTCCTGCTCCGTCTGTTTCTCTTCTCCTCATTGCCTACTTCAAGCCCTGAGATTTTCTAAATTATAGAATCATTAAGGTTGGAAAGACCAATAAGATCATGCAGTCCAACCACCAACCATTCTAGACCCTGTAAATCAGTGTCACATCCATCCTCTTCTCAGAGATAAAGTCTCCACCACCTCCCTGTGGAGCCCATTCCAATGCCTCACCATTCTTTCTGAAAATAAATTTTTCCTAATATCCAACTGGAAAACCTTTAGCAACCTGAAGTCGTTACATCTGTATATCCTTCTGCCTGTTAAAAGGGACTGTGTCTATAGGATGTGCATCTCCAAAGAGGACAAAAACTTCTAAATTACATTACAGATTTAGCAGCTCCCTTAATGCTCTACACTCTCCAGGCTAAGCTATTCCTGGAGTGAACGTTAACCTCACTGACAACTAAAGACTATTTTCCTATTCAGCAGTGAAGAAAGATGCAGCACAAACTGATCACCCAGCAGCCCCTTTGCCCACATCTGGATAGCAGAGGTGAGAAGAGAGCAAAGATCCAGGGAAGCCCTTCAGCACTGGGGGAGATCCCTAAAATGGCAGCAGGGTGAGCTGGGGCCATAGCAAGCAGGGAGTGTGGTGGGACTGCCAAACAGGGAAGGGGCTTCTGATGCTGGAGAATACAAAGAAGGCAGTACCAAGATAAAAACTGTGCAAATAATTTTTGCACAGGGGGAACGCTCCTTTAATAAGTCTCCAGCCAGATAAATCACAGCTTAAGGAGAGATTGCGGTGCTATTTATTAGTCATTTGTGCATGATTTGCTCCCACCATGGGTAGTGGAATTTCTTTATCAGGTATTTAATTTTGTCAGAAATGATTTGTGCACTGCACAGCCATTCGTACCACCGTCACTGGCCTGCAGAGCTTGGGCACCTGTTGCTGTACAAGAACAGCACTGACAGTGACCTCCTAGAGGAGATACTCTGGTGGTTCAAGGATTTGACTTTCATACGCAGCTTTCCTATAGTTATTTTCCAGTACTAATCCCAAGAAGTATTTTCAGAGAGCCTCATTGCAAGGCTTAACAGCTGCCTTGGCTGCATGTTCATTGCTGGGCAATTTTTGCATCTTCACTAGCAGAACACAGGCAAACAAGGTCTTTCATAGTATAATTAAGATTGGAAATGACCACTGATATCATCTAGTCTACCAACCCATCAATGCCATGGTAGCCTGAAGCTTTCAAACTCTCTCAGACTAGCACCAGCAACAGTAAAGGTTGACTGCTTGGAATAGTTTAACTTACTTACAAATTAAAAATGATTTCCATCTCTTGCTCTTGTATTAGTCCTAGAAACATTCACTTCTTTGCTCAGAGCCCCACTTGCCAGAAGTAGCCACAAACCAAAGGGTTTGGGTTTTGGAAGTAGTTATCTGAGAAGTGCTATGAATCCCTGATGAAGATTCTGCCACTATCTACAATCCATTTTTTATCTTACTCAGACACACTGAGAAATTCAGTCCCCAGATGACTGCCTGCCCAAGTCCTTGAACTTGCAAGAAACACTGGCAGATGTTCGTTAGTGCACTGGTAACTAGAGAATTGAAGGCACTTGTCGAATCTGTTTGCAATGGATAAATGTTGGAGAGCTTCTGCTGGGGAATAACGCTTTTGGGTTGGGGCCAAGTAACCATGTTCAAAGAACCTTTCTGAGGAGCAGGGGGAGTTATGGCCAGCAGTTCAGGTTGGTTGTTCCTTTTATTATTAAATAGAAACGTAACCTGAGTGTATCTACTCCCTACCTAAGCATAACAAATAGCAAATATTTGGATGAGATTAATGGTTTTGCAGGTTTCAATACAGATTTGACAATTGAAAATGGTAGATGGTGTCCTACAGCTGCCCTCTTTCCTGGAGCACCACACACATACAAGCATGTCCCTGCAGCCCAGTGCTCAGAGCATCCCTGACCCGCAGCCCACCACCATGCCCTGATGAATCCAAGTAACACTTGATACAGAGGCTGTTGACACCATCACTTACCACTTTGCTTTGTCAAGGCCTCGCCCAGTATCTCTCCTGTATCATTGGGAAATCTGCTGAGAGGCTCCAGGTCAGGAGTTTGCTGTGGCTCTCCTTGGAGAACTGGCACCAAAATCCTTGCCAACACTGCATAAGCCATGGGAAGCAGTTTGGGCACTCATGAGCAGTCATGTGATGCCCTCCTGCTACCTGGTGGTTTCTGAGCGTGGGCTTCACAGCCATCTAATGAGAAGAGCAGAGCTGCAGAAGGAGCATCAGCATCATTTGGAGCAACAAAACATCTCCTAACCCCATCTTCTGCCTTGCACTTACCTGGCAAAACTCAGGATGTCTTCCTTCCTTGCAAATGCCCCTCCAGAGCCTGAGTTTGCTACTTCCAAAATTCAGCAAACATCTCCTATGCTCCCTATAGCTGTTGCTCACACCACCCAGCCCCTCTTAGCAGAAAGCTTCTAATCTGATTCATGTGCTTCCCAGGCTGACCTGGGACAGTGAGCAAGGTAATAACACTGCAAGAAAAACCATGCAAGAAAGCAAGGGCAAGAACCAGCTTGTTTGTGAAGCAACTGCTTAACTGCTTCAATTTGCAAAACTCAAGCACTTAAGCACTTCTTGTTAAAGTCATTCAGAAATGCAAGACTTGCCCACCAGGAGAAAAGCCAATGCTTCTCCCAAGGCAGCTGTCTGGGCCACAGCTCTCACTGAATGTGGGAGTGAGTTCAGTTCCTCATCTGCAAGCAGAAAAATAACTGAAAGTGATCTGCTGGCAACTTTCTTCATACATGCAAACACACACACACACACAGCTTTGATATGTGGGTCTGACTTAATTATAGCTGGCAAACATGAAGGCGAGATACGCTTGAGAAAGACGCCTGACAAATCTGTACTCCACAAAGGAGAACTTGGTTTCCCAGAATCCAGTAAAGCAGATAGGGGCCACATCTGGATTTTTCTTACTCTCTCATCACTCTGTATTTCCTGGTCAGAGCGGGGATCTCCCCAAGAGAGGCTTTTCTTGTGGTATTTCTGGCTGGGAATGGACACACCACAAATCTCATGAGAAGGTCTTTCCTTCCAAGATTCACGAGCCTCCAGCACAGATAATTCAGGGAAGGAACTGACTGTGCAAACGCTTTCCAAACTCTCAGCCTTTTGGGGGGTCCAGTAGCACTTATAATGATGATGTAGAGCCTCATCCTCCTCCCCTCCCACCAACACAGACACTTGATGTCACAACTGTCTGGGAAACTCCTTGCTTTTTAAGAAAGGAAAAACTGAAAGAGTTTTTTGCCCCAAACCCTCAGGCCAACACAGAGCACTCACCCTGGTTGAGACTGCGTAATCCATCTCTATAACACGCTCCTTTGGAGCTCTGCTTCACCCTCGCTCACATCCATCCGTGGTCTGCCTCTAGATCCTTTGAAAAGGTACAAGGAAAAGCACTTTGGAGGCTGTGGACATCTAGGACCTTTTGTCCTGCCTTGCCATGGGTCAGCTTAGCTGATCTGTGCCTCAGTTCCATATCCATACAAACAGGAGGGGGAAGAGAACAGCACTTCCTGGCTTTGCTGGCCTGTTGTCAAGATTAATACATTAAAGAGCAAAGTACTTTGAAATGGTCCAAAAGAAAAGCAAGCTGGAAGGTGAACACAGTGCTGAGAAGAGTGTTTTGACACAAGTTTTGTTTATTCCTTATTGCTCCTGTCCAAGGGAGATTCAGAGCCTAAAATTAGAGCAGAACAAATGCATCCCTCACTGTACTGACCAGGCTGCTCCACGTGTGGCACACAGGAAAGCTCTCAGGAGGAGGAGGTTTGGAAACTATTGTGAAAATAGAGATCACAAAGGATTGAAACCAACTGAATCTCCCAAAGCGCCTTAACTCACATAGGGCTCCCAACAGCCACCACTTTGCACAAAGCCACTGCAGAGCCAGGGTTAGAAACTTCTTTGTAATGCAATCCTCTTCCTCAAGCACGCAACCCTTCTTCCTTTCACTTTATCATCCTTCAAACCCGAAGACTTGCAGATCTGCCTCTCCTGGAAGAAATTTCACTCTAACACTGCACATAGGGACCATGGGATCATGTTGTAGCACAAGGTGATGTGTGAAAAAGGAAGGCGCTGGAAGCCCCAAGACAGTCACTGTGTAGGAATTATGGAGCCAACTGAGACCTGAGTACCCTTCAGCTCAGCCTGTGGCCACAAAGCTCATTTGCATCCAGGACCTCTGAGAGTCTTATTCCTGAGAGGGGACCTTTCTCTTCAGAGAAGCTAACACCAAGTATTCAAGCCTTCTTGAACTGAAAAGAAAAAGAAAAAAGAAAAGAAAAAAGGAAGTTCATGCCTGCTGTCTCCTAGACCCTATTATGAGATGACTACCATTACCACGAGTCTCTCTGAAAAAAACAATAAGAGAACCATAGAATGATGTGGGTTGGAAGGAACCTGAAAGATCGCCTAGCTCCAACATTCATTATCTAGTTCCAGAACCCAAAATGATGATGTTCCTACTCAAGCATCCAACTTTGATGTCTAAGAGCAGGACACAATGCCTCTGAATCCTCATGTGATGTGATCCTCATATGATCACCACCTCAAGGCTGCAGGAACATTCTAAAGTAGCTGCAAAGACCTTCAGTTCTAAACACACTGTCACATCCTTGCAGCAAGTTCAGATCATCATCACACTTTTCTCCCATCCAGCTATTGTATCTAGGATCCCAGCCCACATCCTGCATCCCAGCCTGGTGCTGGGACCATGAGCTCTCCAGCTCTACCTGCACAGCTGCACAGCTCCTGCTCATCCAGTTTGTCCAGGAGAATTTGAGTGAGCCCCAGGTGTTGTGTCATTGTGTGCAGCTGATCCACTTTGGGCTTTGAATTATCTTAAGGTCTGGCTCTGAACCCACAGAGGAGTGCAATAAGCATGAACTAAAGTGAGCACAGGGGGAAAGCTCCAGGTAGTCTTTTTTTAGTCAGTAGGAGCTAAGGGCCCTCAGCACTGACCTGTGGTGGTATCTCCTACTTGGCTCATCCCTACCAAGCCTGCACTTCATGGAAGCTTTGGGTGATGGCAAAGGGCATGCAGAACATAAGTTTGAAGGATCAGAACACAGGATAGATCAGGGAATAGAAATTTCCAGAGCAGAGGTGAGGTAGTAGGCTTCAGATAGGCAATAAACTCCAGGAAGAAGGAAAAGCAGAGTTTTTTGTGCCCCACTTTGCACAAGAAGTCAAAGACCTCAAGTGCAGCCGTAAGGATGTAGGTTAGACAGCAAGAATATCTTGCCAACAATAAGGATAAAGTAGACTGTGACAAAGCTGCAGAATTCCTCCCATTAGAGATCTCCTCAAACCGGTTAGACCAATACACGTATGTCAGGCAGGAGATGGGTTCATTTGATCTTGCCTTTGGGCCAAGGGATGATTTAGGTGGGACTTCTCCAAATCTGTGCCACTTTTCTCCTCTCCCTGGGAGCACTGGAGGTCTCAATGGGAAACATCACCTCCCGGAGGTGGCAAATCTCTTGCTGTCAGCCTCCTCCTCTCTCCATTCATGCTGTCCATGTCCTACCTTGGACTAAGGGAGCTGCCAGTGCATCTGAGTTTGACTTGTAGGAGGGGAGAAAGTGAAAATATAGAGCATTAATGTCAGTGGAAAATACCGAAGGTGCTGAAGCATGGTGAGCAGGCAGCAGAGATGTGTGACAAAGTTCTACAGCTCCACGATGAGATATAGAGAGACACTAAACTCTCTCGTGATCAGTGTGAACACTCTCCACCCCCACACTTCCTATTCTATTTAATAGCTGCAGACCATTCCATACCATATTTCCAAACACCAGCTGTTAAAGTGTCATAAAACACCCACAGGTGACAAAAATGTTGTGCCTTCACAGCGGAGCCAGTAGCAAGCAGGACCTCCCCACTGCCTTCCCTCCGGCTCCTGCGCCGGTACATGTGGTGGATTGGGCTCTACTGGAATTTGAGATGAAACAGCAGGGTTTAATTTTATGCAAGCCCCCTTTCCTTTGTGCTCAGCTGTGGGAAACAGGAGGGTTTTCAGTCAAGCTCTCCTCCACCACCTAGTGGGAAACCAGATTTTTCCCACCTTGGTGAGTGTTGAGATGAGCAGGATCGCTTGTGGGATGCTGGGACAAGCCCTGTGCAGCCATTCAGGGGACATCCTACATCTCCCAAAGAGCAAAGCAACACCAGGTCAGCAAGCTGGGCGAAGATGCCTTTTCCAATATGTAATACTTCTAGTGCACAACAGAGACAGCCAAGTCCATTTTCTGATCCATCACAGACTAAAAGAGCACTTAAATATAAACAAAAACAAAACAAAACAATGAACAGTATTTCCCATTTGTGCTCAAGCTTTTCCTGCTGCCCACCACTCCGGCCACATATGAGACACAGCCCCGCAGCACCTGTACCCTGGCCGTCAGCGTCCGGCCCCACGGCAGCTCTTGGAGGAACGGAGCTCTGGCCAAGCTCCTGCACAGGTAATTGCTGTCTGCTGGCCTCACTTCCCCTGCAGATACAGCCGCCTTCATTTCCTGTCCTAAACTGCAGGGCAGCGTCACTGTATGCTGTTAAACAGCTGCCAGGCGCTACCCAGAGGGGCTCACATTTTGGAGGTGGATATGACAAGAAAGGAAGCAAGAGGAGCACTGAGCCAGGCTACGACTTGCCTCTCTCCATGGCACAATTTGGGCACCACCACCTCGCCATGCTCTTTCGCACATGCCCAAAATTTGGATACACACACCCCATCCCCTTCCTCACAGCTCTTTTCTCCATTCACACTGAGGGGGGAGGGAGCAAAGGGTTAATGGGGTTTTCTTTCTCCTCGCAAACTGGGACCCCTGTGAGTTTTATGGGAAGGGCCAATGGAGGTGGAGGGACGGGGCGGGGGAGGAGAATTTGCTTTATGGCTTTGACAGGAACTCCCATCATGGTATAATTATGGAAGTGAGAAGTCTGCGTGTAATGAAGACCATATGCCGTGTTAAAACACACACGCACAAATATTAGGCCCCTGTGAGGCAGGCGGGGGGAGCAGGAAAGGGTGGGGGACATAGGCTCAGCCCTCCCCGAAATGCATGGGCTCAGATTTTCCAGCCTGGAGTGTGCAGCAGGCCCTGGGCACAGGGACAGCACAGCCTGAGCCTGCTTTGGGGTGAAAAACATCCAGTTTGCATTGAGTGGAAGGGCGGGCCACTGGTGCCAGAAAAAGGGTTTTTTCACCCTTTTGGAGGCCAGAGGACCCCAAGGAAGGGGAGCAGGTTGTCCCCCCTGCAGTGCTTTTCCTTTGCTTCCAGCAGGAACTGGGATGGAAATGACAACTTCAGTGACTGCCAGGGCCACCCAGTTGATGCTTGAAGCCCCTGTGCCATCCTCCCCATCACCCAGCCTGCTCTTATAGTGAGCAGCTTTCCTGGCTACAGCACAGTCGTCTCCTCTCAACGCATCCCACATCTGCTGCTCCATAGCTCCAACTCACCATAGGGTCTGGAAGCTGCTTTGGGGCTCCGCACAGCTCACACACTCTCACTCAGGGTTATCATTGTCCCATCTCAATTTTGGGGGTCACAGTTCCATCCATCCCTTTACTCACTGACCAGCAGCAGACCCCGCTTATTGCCCCCTGGATCACTTTCTCTCACCTGGTGATAACTCTCCATATAAATTCTTCTTTTTCCTGCTTTTATATATGTACCACTGTGTGTCTTCCAAAACAAATAGCTGCCTTCCACCACCCTGACCTGCCGCCATTCACTAACTGTGGACAAAACAGTTGGGAGGTTGTAGCAAGATGGGGGTCGGCCTCTTCTCCTGGGCAGCTGTGAGAAGATGAGAGGGAATGGCCTCAAAGCATGCCAGGGGAGGTTCAGGATGGATGTTAGGAAACATTTCTTCTCCACAAGAGCAGCGATGTGCTGGAACAGGCTGCCCAAGGAAGCTTTGCAGCCCCTTTTGGAGGACAATGCTGTTGCACGGAGGGGAAGTGCAGGTGTGGTGCAAGCAGGGCGCATGCGGTAAGGAGTGACCTCGTCCTCTCCTGGTCCTCGGCTGCGATCCACGATTCCCGTCATGCACAGTGTGTCATTTCCCATGAGTACCTGCCTGTTTCTGCCATCTGCCACGATTTATAGAAAATGGGCAGTGATTAATAGCCCAGTCAATGCCGAGTGAAGCCATTTTCTTTCATTTACCTGCTCCCTGACCTCCCCGCACAGTCCCAGACAGGGGCTGGGGAAGTGTATTAATCATGCACTTAAAAAATATTTAAAAGGGGAGATTGGCCGGGAGCTCGGTTGTTTTTATGGAGTCGTTTTCTACAGAGGGTGCAAGCTAATTGCCAGATAAAACAAACGGGCCCTTTGAAATGGAAATGAGCCACTTGGAGGTACTCAGAGCTTGAGCGATGCCCTAACCCCACGCTCCCCATCAACTACCTGAGACCAAGCAGAGCAGTGGCAACAGCCTTCAGGCACCAGTCAACATCCTGGGGACACTGAGAAGTCCACCACAGTGAAGTCTGCACTCCTGAGGTGGTGGCACCACAATTGAACAGAGGGCAACGCAATGGAACCCGAAGTAATACAATGCAACCCTAACCCTAGCCCAAACAAAATGAAATACAACCTTAAACCTGACCCTAACCTTCACCCTCACCCTAGCCTTACTGTAACCCCAAGCATGCATTGCATCCATGCCCAGGTGGCGAACGTGATCCTATAACTGAATAAGGATATTGAGGGAAAAGATCTTGACTTCTTGTGACATACGAGGAAGAAAGCGTTCCAGAGGACATAGTTGTGGCGCTTCTGAGCATAAATCTGACATTTCCTTTTCCTGCAATACAGCCCCGGCAGCACCATGGACACCATGTACAGCTACATAAGCACCTGGAAAATACCTTTCTGACATGTACCCCTACCAGCAGCCAGGGCTGACAGCAGTAAAACGAAAATCCCCCGTCAAGCCGAACAAAATTATTGAGTTATTCTCACCCACTGGAGACCAAAGCTTTGTTGACAACTTAATTAACTGTGTTTGTAATGAATTTTTTTGGCCACATGCAACAGACTAATTATCAAAGCAAACCTTAATCTCTTTCCAGGCACATCAAAGTAGCAAGAGCAAAAAATATTTACATCAGTCTCAGATAAAATTCTTTGCACTAATTCTAACATAATTAAAATTATGTTAGGGCTAAGATAATTATGCAAGGTGCTTATACAGCATAACAATGTAATAGGAGCTTGTGCTTTTTTTTCCCCCACCTGTATTCAATCAGCAAAGTCCTCAAATGTGTTTAATGTCTATCGAGTGCTGTCCAGAAGAGGGCCATGAAGATGATCAAAGGGCTGGAGCACTTCTCCTATGAAGACAGGTTGAGGGAGCTTGGAGAAGAGAAGGCTCCAAGGAGATCTCACTGTGGCTTTCCAGTACCTGAGGGGAGCTTACAAGCAGGAGAGGAACTGACTTTTTATACATTTGGTTGAGATAGGACAAGGGAGAATAGCTTTAAACTAAAAGAGGGAAGATTTAGCTTAGATGTTAGGAAGAAATCCTGTACTCAGAGTGATGAGGCGCTGAAACAGAGAAGATGTGAATGCCCCATCCCTGGAGGAGTTCAAGGCCAGGTTGGATGGGGCCCTGGATAGCCTGGTCTAGTGGTTGGCAGTCCTGCCCATGGCAGGGGGTCTAGAACCAGACAGCCTTTCAGGACCCTCCCAACTTAAGCCATTCTATGACTAAAATTTTTAAACCTTCCTGATAAGGAAGTAATGTAAAACCATACATTTTCATGCAAATTTGACAGCCAAAAGATGGAAAGGACTGTGCCCATTCCAAGGAATGTCCACCCAAGAAAAGGATAGAGAGAAGACAGCAGGAGAGCACCAAAGGACTGAGCTGAATCCACCTGAATCCAGCCCAAATGTCCTCCTTCCTGTGGCTCACAAAGGTTGGGATGCAGACAGGAGTTCTTGCAACAATTCTGGCCATTGTATCAACTACAAACCACTCTGAACTCCGACCAAAGTTTCATTTTTGGAGCAGAAAATACCTGTAATCTCATATTTTCTTGTCTTAGCAAAGCACAGGTATCAAACTGAATGCAAACACAGAATAAGAGATGGGTGAATGAGCTCTCAAGAGCCAATAGCTCTGCCTCTTCTTAGATTCAGCAAGAAGGTTTATGAGAAGACATCCCATTAAGCACAACACCCCATCAAGACAGATGAGGAGTTCCTCACAGGTAGAATAAAACAGCTTTCCCACTACCAACAAGAGTTGTCTGGTGTTACTATCACACAATGACTGGCTTTACCCCAAGGAAAAAGGACACTGTCACATCCCAGTGTCCTCATACAGGGGGTGAGCTACTAAGGACAACTCCCGCATTCCTCAGGTTGCTGAGCAGCTTGATACTTCTTTTTCAAACCTTCAAAGTTCCTGTGGGATTAGGTCTCGGTTTGACCTCTGACAGAGCTGACTGATGCTTTAGGAGCCGGAAAGATCGTTAGAGCTCTTTGTCCTTGGCCTTTCAGCGAAGGCCAGGGCGTTTACACTGCTGCCAGCACAGAGGAGGAGGAGAGATGCTGGTGGTGCTCCCTAGTGGCAGCCTGCGCAAGGAGGCAGCGTGCAGATGTTACCTGAACATCTTGAATAGCAGTGGGATGGCAGAGATAGAACACAGCTGGGAGGCAGCTGAATAGCAGGGGTGCAGGGAAAAACAGCCAAGATCAAGCAGGGGAAGGGACAGGCTGCTGGTTTGTGTGGGCATTCTTCAACCAGGGTAGCCTCGATTAAAAGATATCGCACTTACCATTAGCTGTTAGGGAGTTTTGAGGTTTCTGTTCAATGCACTGATACTTTGCTGTTTACAAATGGAATGCTGCAGTACCTGAGTCACTCCAGCTCTTTGTTGATTTCATCCTGAACAAACCATTTTGAGATCAGGAGATATTTTCCTCAATCTGGGAAACGTAGGCAGAAGAGATAGCTTTAAAAAAAAATAATTCAGTAAATCCATAGACATTTTCTACTTCCCAACTGATTCAGGGCAAAGATTACATACACCCACCCAGCAAGATTAGGATATCCACAGCCTTATTTTTTAGAATAAAATAATAATCTTGCACTATTCACAAGTTACCCCTCCTCTCATCCTAAACATCTTTTCTATTTGGTTAAAAACCGTCCAAGAGTTGTTTGGGGTGCCAGGACCTTCACCTTCCTCAGAGCCCCGAAACTGATGCCAGCATCACCCTCAAGACAAATTGCTTTGGCTTCTCCTTCAATTTTTTCCTGGTATAAAACAAAAATACGGGTCTTTCTTCACAAGTATATTGCAAGTAAATCTGCCCCAGCTCCTGTTCCACGGAAGGAAAACACCCACTGAGGGCGTACGGCGCCCTTTTTGGGATGCGCATAGCACCAGCAGATGGAGCTGCGAGATCAGGAGTGGGGTGACAGGTCCTGAAGCAGCTCTCGGAAAGAAACGTTGAGTTGAGGTGGGAGCTGAAAAATCGCTGCTCAGGGTGGCCTTTTGGAGCTTCCTTTCCTTAATCTGTAGCAGTGAGGGAAGTCTGTGCATCTAGCATTGGAAGAAAACTTGGGAGGGCAGAGCGTGAGGGATGCTCCGAGGTGGGGATTTTGAACAGCACTCAGTTCCCAGCCCCTTACTTGTATTGCTTGAGGACACATCTGAATCGGTTTTTATGGAACTCAGGCAGTTTCCAAACAGACTCAGCAGCATCCTTCAGTCCCTGTTCCCTCTCTTCCCCAGGCAGTCCCCTGAAATACCCTCTGTCCTGAAGCCTCCTGCGAAAGCCCTCAGGGATAGTAATATTCTGCTGTTTGTAGCCAAAAGGCAGAGACACAGCTTACCTAAGGATTTTTGAAATTCCTCAGGTCACTTCCCAGGATAAAACCAAGGTTTTTCAGATCACTCTGCACAGGGAACCAGCAGCGACCCCAGAGGTAGAGCTTTACACTGCATTATGAAGCTCCCATACAAAGTCAGTGATCATGGTTAATGTCAGTTTTACAGACAAGGAGCACTCTTCAGTGATGTTTGAGCATGTGGTGGAGTTGGAGGAGCTCCCATCAGTCGCAAGGTCAGCCCAATGCCTCTTTCCTACACAAGATTTTATAGAAGAAATAAAGCAATAACTTCAGCACAACAGGCCTTCAACACAGTCCTCCTCAGCTTAATTTTTAACTGTGCAGGTGACAACAGATAATGCCAGTCTGCAGGCCAGATTCACACTATCCAAACTGTCATCTCATTGACGGGCTCTGGACAGCTTAAACAGGAGGAATATTTGGCTTTCAGGGAGCCAACATGACTAACAGCTCCTCTTTGCTTCCACATCTCTGACGTGCTTCTGTCATGTTTTAAGAGTAGGGCACGAGCTATTTGCTTCACAGGCATCACCACTCACCTAATAACCACCATTCATCTCATGGCAATTTCTGAAGGAGCTGAAGTCTTTGTGGTTTCTTGAATTTCAGGGGGAAAAAAGAAAAATAAGGTCAAAGCACAACTGCGTCTGAGATTTGGCCTGAGCAATGTTGTCCACAGATCACTCAGTGGCTTGTGACATTCTAACCTGCCCAAGGAACTGGTGGAGTCCCCATCCCTGGAGATGCTTAAGAGAGATGTGGACATAGCAGTAAGGGACATAGGTTAGTGAAGGGACACAATATGTGAGGCTGATGGTTGGATGGTGATCTTGAAGGTCTTTTCTAACCCAAAAGTTTTTGCTACAATAAAAAGCTCTTAAAGTCTTTTAAGTTCACAGGGATGGAGCCCAAATAGCAAACACATCCCCTGACAGCCTCAGGTGTAATGCAGAACTTTAAGCCTGGGAACTTTGGTCCCTTTGGTAAATAAATAGGCAGGAATTGGGAGATGGCAGAAAGAGTCCTTTAATATCCTGGTTGCCCATAAAAAAAAAAGAATAGGTTGTACTTCTAATAACTTTACATGTTTTATGACATTATTGTCTGTAAACCTACTTAGTTGCCTTAGTAATCAGAAAACTGACTCCTTTAATAGAAAACACGGTGTACTCACCACAAGAGCCGAGAAGGAAAATTGGTCTCTTATGCAAATAGTTCAATTATAATCAAACGCAAACACAGAAAAAGGTCAGGTTCCCAAAAGGATGTCTATTTACATTATAAATAAGGAACTGGGAAACAGGAACAATATGACAGTTTTACTGCTTTTGAGCCATGATTTGCTAAATGGCAGTTTCACAAGGAGCTGAGCACTACTGGGAGAGGAGGCTGGAGGCAGCACGGACATCTGACCATCTGTCTGATCATCATCCTCCTGTGGCACCTTCCTGCCAGGTCTATGCAACTGGGTCCCCACAGCAGAGCAGGGTCTGCTCCCTGGTGCAAATCCAGATCCTCATGGACAATAAAGTAATAAAAAGAAACTGATTTTTGTTTCCAGTCATAGACTGTTAGTACAGTCTGACTCCAAGACACAGGAGGTTTTTTGAAAGAAGAAAACTAAAACCACAAAGTATTTTACTATTTATAAGTAATCTGTTACTGGCAAGTAATGGAGTTCTACTATAGCTTTGAATTAATGTATAACTTAAATAATGGCTAGTCTAATGCTGTTATGATGGTTTACATCCGGGAAGGCTCCAGGCAAAAGTAAAATCTGGTGGGGATGATAGAATAATAGAATATAAAGAGAGTCTAATGCTAGGAAGAGAGCGAGCCCAGTACAGGAAAATACAAACAAAAGACAGGAAATATAGATGTAAGAAAGCTTCCTTATAGGAAGAGAAAAGTTTCCCTCTGTCATTTCCTAACAGGTGCTCTGAGATTTTGGGGCTGCAAACTGAACCCACAATGCACATCCTGGCCCCAACCTGCAGGAAGAGGTCAAGGCAGGAGACGATCTACAACAAATACTGGCCAGCTATGAAACTTGCCACCAAGAAACATTAAAAGGAAACTAAGATCGCTCACCAACCAGCCAAGACTGCTACAGCACTGCAAATGTGCAAACACCACTCTGTCATAGCCTGCATCTCACCCATGGGGAAAGGATGGCCCAGACAGAAAGTACCTGTAATTTTGTGCCTTGAAACTCAATGCTGACAGCCTCAGCCTCCAGCTACACATTCAACAGGATACAAAGTCACATCCATACATGGAAAAACTGCCATACAAATGCATATGATCAGTGGCAAAAGGAACCCACATCAGTCTGTGCTTTTAGCTCTTGAATCAACTGCCTTATCCCCAATTAATCAGGATAAGCTGCAGGTTTCTAGCTCATTAAAATCACATCAACAATTGCAAATTTTTATGAGCACTGCCAAAGATTAACATAATTTCCACTTCCAAATGAGCACAAGAAGAAATGCTGTACTCTTGCCTACAAACAAGCTTCTGTTAGTGCTGTCTTTTTTTCACCTGTCCTGAATAACTGGGTTTTTTAGGCTGGAGGAGAAGCTCAACCCAGATCTGCCCCTGCTGCCAAATGCATGTTCAGCTTGTAGCCTGAAGTGACTGCAAAAGCAAAGGGCAGGAGCAGCCACACAAGCAGCCAGATTCCTCTGCCATAATTACGCATCAGTGAGGATCCTGGTCTGCCCCTGGTACATCATGCCATGCTGGGCCTTGGCCCAGGTGCAGACTTCATGAAGAGGGAAAGCACACACAGTCCAAGAGTGATCGATTGGGATTGTGAGGTGATGGAAAGGACCAACAAATACAGGAATATCCAAGCCCTGAAAGACTCTGGAACAAAGCCTCAAGAGCTGAGTAAAAGTGTCTTTGAGTCTAAAGAAAATCAAACAATCAGAGTTGAAGAACCATTGTTCAAACCAAAGCAGGATTGTATCTGGGGTGAATGGCCCACCAATGAACTCAAAGCAAAGATTAAGCAAGAATTGTGGAGGCAAGTCTAAGTGACAGCAGTTACCTACCATGCATTCATGAAGACTTCAGCAGAACCGTTTTCCTCCTCTTCTGCATGTTACCTACTGTTGCTGTGCAGCATTTAGCAACTACAGTTGCAGATCCGTAGGGGTGACTGCACACCAGCAGGTAAACATACACATACAACACATTAAATGCATATATTCTCCAGGCTGGGCTATGTGCATTAGCCATTGATCTAGGCTGGCTGCAGAACAGCATCTGTGAGACACTTGGTGTCAGTGCTGCACAACCATTTTAGAAGCTAGAGCAAAGAAAAGCACAGATGCTTCCCAAAATCCTGCAGGATATTTTCACCCCTGCCAACAGCTGGACAGGCTTTTGCATGGTAACATCCCAGTAGATTGCAAAGCAGAAGAAAAGGAAGAACTGGGGCCTGAGGTGAGCAGCCAGCATTCCAGCACAATACGTTATTCCAATAAGAGGCAGATGCTATTTCTGAGCAGAGCAGAATCCCTTCCTACCCACGCTTACTGTGGTTCCTTAGTCCCCTCCACTTGGTAGTGGGAAGTCTACAGCCCGTGGTCTGCTATCCATCCCGGTGGAGCTGTTGAAGTCAGGATCTACAGGGAAACCCATAAAGAGGAACCCACTGCATGTGCATTACGATTATAGGTCCTTCCAAGCAGCAAAGCTACTGTGCAGGTGCTACAGTTTTCACATACATTTTACCTCTCTTCACCACAAAGGTAAAGGCTTGCCAGGATCACTGTAATTGCTGAAACGAACAAAGGACAAAACTTTCCTCCAGGCAGAATACTAGCAGAACTGAAGTCACCCCTCTTGATTTGGTCTTCAGTGTTCAGAGAAATCTGCAACATTTCGCCACACCATTTGAACAAATTTGATTCTGAAGATGCACAGGGGAGGGAGAGAAAGTTATTAATGGGCTTAACTCACTCCACAGAGAGGTATAATTAAAGAATGAAGGCCAAAGCATAACTCATAATAGCACGTATTAACACAGGGTCCACCTTGCTGCAAATATTCATGTTTTTTATCTCCATACCACAATAGGACCTGCAGGCAGTGGCCTCCCTGCAATAGGTACTGCACAAATATGGAAGCCCAGACTAAACCCTGACCAGTTCTGAGGTAAAATCTATTCAGTAGGAAAGGTTCTGGAGGGCCAATCACTTCCTATATAGCACAGTCCTAAATAAACCGTATTCCTTATCTCTAATTCCTAGTGGGGCCGTCCATAGTCAGAGCATAAAGATCCACCCACAGAGCTGCTTCTCTGGCCACACTGCATCTCCTGGAAATCTGGCCCACTGTCCAAAGTGCTTCTACTCTCTGCTTTAAGTGAGGAAAATGCAGAGAGTGCCTCAGGCACTTGTTCCAACCTGCAAAGCGATTTAGTTATAGTTTAACTCCTGCTTGAAAATGAGGTCAAGAGGTGAGGCATGCAAGCTAAGGAGAAGTCCTCCGGCAGGCATGTGGTTATTGGGTGCACTGCATAAAACCAGCTACTCTATCTCCCTGTATAACTGTATGAGTCATCATGTACAGAAGGCTTTCGGAGACCATTGAGGATAACCGCTGTCCCTAGAAATACCAGATAAACTGGGTAAAGACGTGAAGACTTTTCTATTCTTTGGGTGCTTTCCCCACAAGTTGTGACACTGAGCAGCCCAATTCTTTCCTGAAAGGAGGCTGAATTGGCAACTCAAAGCTTGCAAGAATCTGTATGCCGTCAGCTCCAAAATATTGCATGTTCTCTGCCATGGCTTCTAGGACTCCAGATAATCTTTTTAGATATTTAAGATACGATTTTACAAGCTGTGACAGCCCTCTCCACATTCATGCAGAAAAAGCCCCGCCACGTAGGTCCAAGTATGTTTGTGGAACCCTAAATTGCACATAAGAAATTGGAAAAATGGGGGCTTAAGCAATGAGCTTCCTGCTCATGCGATCCTCATCTCATTAAAGGGAAAAGAGACAACAAGCCACGTCTCCCAAAGCAGAGACTTTT